TCAATGCAAGTCAGAAGCACAAGAACAGTCTTCCTGTTTCCCCGGGTAAAGTACTTCCCAATGTCTACCCACAACATTATAAGGCCCTAGCGAGGCCCGGACTGCAAGAAAGCAGGCCCATTGTACCTTGCCTTTCCTCACTTTATCTTAGTGCAGAAACTCCAAGCCCACAGCCGAGACAAAGCCACCAATGTCCTCTCTTCTTCCTCTCCAGGATCATTGTAAAGCCATCACAAGAACAATATAATACACACATGCACACAAGGCACAGTCTTCCCATGTTCCCCAGGCTGCGCAGGTACTATATAACCCAGCTGGCCTGGAGCCTGCCAGTGTCACGCCTCTACCTCCTGGTATATGCTGGCCTGAGGAACAGTGGAGCTCTTCCTCCCAACCAAACTATACTTTCCCCAACAGTCTCCTCAGTCTTCAGCAGCCCTGCTTATTAACCTCCACAGCCAACCACAAACGCCAGAACCAATCTAGAATTAAACCAAAACTGCATCTCCTATCATGTGTCTTCCTTGTCCTGGTCAGCCTCTGGTTCTAACCTACGGCCTTGAGTCGTCAGTGGAGATCCCTGCTGGCTGTGTCAGGTGCGCTCTAGATAAGCAGACCTGCTTCATGTCTGCGCAGGCCCTAGAAGGCTCAGAACATGGCAACTTCTGAAGGAGTGTAGTGTGTAGACGGAGAGGAATGCTGGCCAGTGCTGACCCATCAACTTCCAGTGGCCACCAGCCAGTCTCAGTCATCTTCCAGGGCTGTCTCAATTCCCACCAGCTTCTCAGTTACAGGAGCCAGCTCTCTGGCTCACAACTCTCCCTACAGAGGGCTACTTCCTCCTGCCTTGCCTGCCCCACCCCAGACAGGCTCAGCCTCTCCACCTCGCTCTTCCTCCTCAGAACTACATAGCCCCAATGTCCTCAGGCCATTTGACCCAGGTCACCATGACAAAAGGAAACATCTATGGTCTTCTGCCCCTTTACCTCTAGGTTCCTGGACAATCTTCCTCCTTCCTCAGTATCAACAGGCTAGGCTTTATGTTTGCCAAAGGTGGAGAGGGTCTCTAAAGGAAAGCTGGTCACAAGGAGAACCTTGTGGCTTGCTGCCAGCCAGGATACGGCTGTGTCATCCCCACACCCACCAAAAAAAAGTTAGACATCGCCTGACATTCACAGAATGAGTGACACATGGAGTAAGTTTGTCACATCAAAGTTTGCTTCCTAAGCCAACACAACCCGAGTCAAGATCTCATTACTTTAGCAGACCCACAGCGTCTGCCCACCACTACCTCAGAGCCTGTCCCATTATATAAAGCACGCATCTTGTTCTTAGAACACTGTGGCTGGAGTACTTCTAACGTTAGCTAAATCGCTCTGAACTTTTCCCTCACCTTTAAACATATTTCAGGTAACTAGCAGGAGTCATATGAAGTAATCGTAAAAGGCCTCTGAAGACCCTATTGCTTGTACATTTTCTTCTCTCTGAGGCACAGACTCACTATGTATACCAAAACTGGCCCTGAACTCACTGTGTAGCCAGACAGGCCACCAACCTGAGGCAGTTCTATTTCAATCTCCTGAGTGCTGGGACTCTAAGTGTACGCCAACAGGATGCTGTTCTTATAATACAGGACAGGCAGTGCTGAAAAGGGGGAGGGCCTACTTAAAGGGGGTTGGGAATATAGCCCCAGTGGTACAGGACATGCCTAGCAAGCATAAAACCTGGGGTTTGATCTCTACTACTGCATAAAACTGGACATAGTGACTCACGCCTATGATCCCAGCACTCAGGTAGAAGCAGGAGAACCAGAAATTCAAGGTCATCCTCAACTATATAGCAGGTCTGCAGCCAGTCTGGGCTTCATGAGACCTTTTTTCAAAAAAACAAACAAAAACAACAACAACAACAACAACAAAACAGAAATGAGAACCTGTCAAGGGGAAGGTGGAATTTTGGGAGACAGGCAAGTCCAGCTCTCCCTCCACAGCTCTGCATTAGACAGGAATATTTGCCATCTCCTTTTCTGCTGTTTTGTGGTGGGTTCCTATTTTTGCTGTTCTAGCCTATAGCACGACAGGATGAAGTGAAAGTTATTGCCACAAGGCATGTCAAACTCAGGTCAAATAAGGACTGAGGCTCAGGAAGCACTCACCCTGACTGAACTGCAGAGCTCACTGGGGAAAGAACACCTTCCTAAGTAGTGATACCACTTAGTTCTCTGACTGGATCCTCCACTAGACAGGGTGAAACCGTTCTTCCTGGCACGGTGCCTACTGTGTGTAGAAAGCAGGACTCAGGCTTTGAGGCAGCTATAAAAGGAATGAACAGTGGGCTGACACTCAGTCTTTCAAAAGTCCTCTCCTCAAAAACGTCCAGGCAGGGAAGAGATCGTAGTACAGAGAGGGCTGAGATGCACCAAGGGGAAGATGGAAATTTAAAAAACAAAACAAAACAAAACCCAAGACACCGAAGTCTCTCCAAGCCAATTCTTCCTCGAAAAGAGTAAGATCTCCAGTCACATTCTTCAGAGAGGGACTCTCTAGCTAGAGAAACCAGACAGGGAACGGCAAACCAATCTCATAAATCCAACGAGTTCCCTATGCCCTCTTTTCTCTATATCAGTCAAAGCAAACTCTATTGCTCCCCAACGTCCCGATGTCTTCACTCTATTAATTCTTCATTGGCCAACTCAAATGACACTAACTTGGTGTCAACTTCTGACACCAAGCCAACAGTGGCATTACCTCTTCTACACCAGTGACACAACATACATAAATTCCTGATTTATCTCGGGAGACTAAGCGCCTCAAGTTACCTATCTCTATAATGGGTCCACTAATACAAGCTGCAGTGCTCAGAGAGAATGTTTCCCAAGAACCCAGTCTGAGGATAGAGGCGGTGAGATGCGAGGGTATTGGAAAGTGGAAGGGGAGGGGCCGAGTTAGGCGACGGCCGCCGTAACCCTAGGCTGAAGTAAGACTAGGATCTTTAAGAGGGTAGGAGTCCGGCTTGCCGTCCTCTCTGTAATCTGTCCCCTCCAGGCCTCCGTACTCAGTGAGCTTGCAGTCCGGCTCCCCGCCACTGCGGGCTCTATTCTGGGCCCCAAGTCCTGCGGTCATAGCCCACAGTCCCAAACCCCGTCTGCCGCTGCCGCACCTGGTCCGAGTCCTCGTTTTCGCTGCTATAGCAGCACCCCATGGCGGGGTCGGGCCGGGCGCTCAGGCGGCGCCGAGGAGGGACGGCGTCCGTCAGGAGCCTTTCCGGTCACATGACCCGCGGCTGCCTCCCGCTCCCCACCCCCTCGCCTAGCCTGTCCTAAAGCCGCTCGGGCGCCACAGCCAAATCTTGCCTTCCGGTCCCGCCTCGCCGCGTGACAATCGCCAGCCAATGGAAAAGTGCGTCCTACGTGAGAGGACCCGGGCACGTGATCCGAAGGCAGGCGGGGCGAGTCACATGATTTTGTTGTCCTCGTCGCCAGATCTGAATCCTCTCGTCTACTTGGCTCTAGTGGCCAGCGCAGTGAGACGAGTTGTGTGATCACATGGTCTCAAGGCCACCTCTGTGGGCCCAGAGCTATCAAGATAAATTCTTAAATGCCACGCGAGTGGCGAGTAGGTCCTGGAGGGAGATGCGCTTCACTCAGAACTCTCTGCCAGTTTCTTTGTCCTTTATGTGTGTGAGAGAGACCAAGGACTCACTACGTAGCCCTCACTGACCTGGACTTTGCGTGTAGACCAGGCTGACCTCGAATTCAGAGAGCCACTTACCTCCGCCTTCCCAGAATTAAAGGCATATGTATTTTTGTTTTGAGTATGTATGTGAGTGTGGAAGTCACAGAACAACTTGTAGGAGGAATTGGTAGTCTCCACCATGTGGGTCATAGGACTTGTTAGATTGTCAAGCTTTGCAGCTGGCACAGTTTAGCCATCTCTCCTGTATTTGGCAGTTTCTTGATTAAGGTGAATTCTGCCTAAGCAAACAGATGGCAGACACTTCTCTCTCCAAATCAGGGATTACACTCAGTATTCAAAGTCTCAATACAAACCTTTTTTCCTGATTGCCTTTTCTGAGCACTTCCATCTCTTTACTTAAACTGGTGTCACCCACTTATTAAATTAACAAATGATGGGGCTAGAGACAACGCAGTGATTAAGAACACTGGCTGCTGCTCCTCCAGAAGGCCCAAATTCCCACCCTCTACATGGTGGTTTATAATCTGTAACTCCAGTCCCAGAAGAAACAATGCCCTCTTCTGGCCTCTGGCAGCAGGTGAGTATACACACACAGCGCAGACATAAATGCATACCAAACACCCATACACATAAAATAAACGAACTTAATTTTAAAAGACAAACCCCAACTATTTACTGTGTACAGTGTGCTACTCTAGTGTTCCGTTTGATAGGTAGCTAGGTAGAAAATAGCCCAAAATCCAGACCATGAAACTCCTAGTCTGGTGATCACAGTGTACTCTTTTTTTTTTTTTTTTTTTTTGGTTTTGGTTTTTTGAGAAAGGGTTTCTCTGTGTAGCCCTGGCTGTCCTGGAACTCACTCTGTAGACCAGGCTGGCCTCGAACTCAGAAATCTGCCTGCCTCTGCCTCCCAAGTGCTGGGATTAAAGACGTGCGCCACCACTGCCTGGCTAGTACATTTCTTGTACCACATGTGAGTAACTGAGAGACAAAGGCAGAGTCTGACTCTTCTCTGTGACTGGTACCCTACACTTATTTACAGAAAACTTGGGTTTTGAACTCAGTAAGTAAGTTTCGATTATTTTGGTTTACACCATGCCCCATGTCCTGATCCCAAGGGGTTAGAAAAATTACCTAGTAGTATTTATTGATTTTTCAGATCAAGACCCTAGAGTTCTGCTAAGTTTCTCTAAGGCTTGAGGAATAGGAGGCAGCTGAAGTTTGTCCCTGGGTTTGGTAACCTGAGCTGTGGGTCTCAGGTAACAACAGCCTCAGCATCAATAATTGAAATCAGGTTCAGCCTCCATCTTTAGGGTTATTCCTCTGAAGGACTTCCCATTCCTGTGCCCTGGTCTTTCTTAGGAGTCGTCAGCTCAGGTAAGCAGGGCCTTGTGGGTTCCCAAGCACACCAATTCATGCCCACATCACAAATGCTTCGCATTCCTGCATGCACGCCTCTTCCAACTAAGAGTCTTGCAAATACAGCCCATCAGACTCGGATCTGGGGGGAGGAGCAGGGGGGAAAAAGGACAGCTATCCCCTGTTTGTGGTCCTGGAGAAGAAAGCTGAGTGGTGAGAACATGTGGTGTGTGCATGTGCATATTTGCAGTTCTAGAGAATTCTTTGTGAGGAGGGTACAAATACAAAAATACAGGCTAGAGAAAATACACGGGGCCAGGGAGGACCTAACCTCCAGGGAAGAGCAAACAGAGAAAGTCCTTGGATAGAAAAAAAAAAAAAGACACTCACTCTAACATGGTATAGAGGGTGGATTTATTTTTGAGATAGAGTCACAAATGAAGTATAGGCTGGCTGCAAACTTTGGGTCCTCTGTCCTGGCCTTCCTCATGATGGGATTACAAGTGTACACCAAAATACCATGGATAGTATTTTTTAATCTTTAAAGATTCTATTTATTTCTATTTTATATGTATAGGTGTCTTGCCCAAATGTACTGAATGTACTTCTATGCACTATGTGCATATAGTGACCACAGTGACCACAAGAGGGCGCTGAATCCCCTGGGCCTGGAGTTGCAGACAGTTGTGAGCAACCAATGTGGGTGCTGAGAATCAAACCCAGGACCTTTGGAAGAGCAGCCAGTGCTCTTAACTACAAAGCCATCCCTCAAATGTTTTGTTTGTTGTTAAGATTTTATGGGTGTTTTGCTTATATTCATTTTCGCTTGTGTGAGCCCCTGGAGGTCAGAAGTGGGGTTGGATCCTCTGGAGCTGAGGATCTAGCTGGATGGTTGTGAAGTAACATATGAGTAGTAGGAACAAACTATGTCCTCTGCAAGAGCAAGTGCTCTTAACCACTGAGCCATCTCTGCAGCCCCAGGCATGGTGTTTTGATTACCTTTTACTGAGACAAAGCACAGTGAGAATGTGAATGGGTGTGACAACAAAGCTTTAATCTTTTGCTACACTATAATGGATCAGGAGTCCAGGCAGATGGAGTATGATAGGAGGAAGACACCCCAAGAAACTGATGAAAAGAGTCTTGAGGAAAGTCAGAAAGTGGGTGGGATAGGGAACAATGTAGTACTGGATCTGCAGCCAGGACCAGAGTTTAGGGTTGAGTGTTAAATACTGGCAGCGGGAGGTTAGAATGAGCATAGGTTAGATTTAATTTCAGTTCTGCTCTGTCTTTGGCAAAGGACAGCCTCTCAGCCATGTTTGTATAAGCATGGTAATTGCATAAATAAGTCTGCACAAATGACAGGCAAATGGTACATATAGGTTCCCCCACCCACGCAACCTCCCTCTATCCTAGGACCCAGGTAGGGGCAATGTCTCCTGCCATTGCTCTGGCATTCCTGCCACTCGTGGTAACACTGCTAGTGAGATACCGGCACCATTTCCGACTGCTAGTGCGTACAGTCCTGCTGAGAAGCTTTCGAGACTGCTTGTCAGGCCTTCGAATTGAGGAGAGAGCCTTCAGCTATGTGCTCACCCATGCCCTGCCTGGAGACCCTGGTCACATCCTCACCACTCTAGACCACTGGAGCAGCTGCTGCGAGTACCTGAGCCACATGGGCCCTGTCAAAGGTCAGTGTCCCTTCCCCTTCCCTTCTGTTTGAGAAATAATCCCAAAACGGTGAAGAAAAACCTAGCATCACCCGCTGCTTACCTGGGTAAATTAGGAAGCTTCGTGATTGTGTTTATGACTTTTTCCCCCTTGCACTTAGAAATGAGGAGTCTGGACCAAGTTATTCAATTGTCCAGCAGACATTTATTGCCACTCTTTTGTGCCAGGTGCTGAGGGAGGTAGAGATCACAGAGGGTAAACCAGCCACAAATGCTGGCCTCAAAAAGATTATAACATAGGAGAATAACCATAACTCAGAGCTTTGTAATTATCTATTCTAGACTCTCTTCCCTACCAAAGAGGCTTCCACAACCAATTCAGGATAGCTGTCTGCTGAGACAGCACAAGTACTTCTAAGTATTAAAAGATTTATCCAATTCCAAAATCAAAAAGACAGTCAGCAATAGGGGAGTACATTTAAGTATGAAATTGAAAATGTCTCAAGAACCTGGAAGATAGGGTGGATATTTTGCCTGGGCCCTCCTGGAGGAAGGAACATCTAAACGGAGTCTAGAAGGATTCCTCTCAAGTTGGCCAGGTGGATGGATAGGTGTGGGAAAGGGCAAAGTCAGCCTGTCAGCCTCATATGTAAATACAATATTTAGAAAGCACAGCATGTTTGACTCTGGGCACACGTTTTGAATGTTTTCTATGACAGCCATCTTGCCTCATAGGTCAGATTCTGATGCGGCTTGTGGAAGAGAAGGCCCCTGCTTGTGTGCTGGAGCTGGGCACCTACTGCGGATACTCTACACTGCTTATTGCACGAGCCTTGCCCCCTGGGAGTCGCCTTCTCACTGTGGAGCGGGACTCACGTACAGCAGCAGTGGCTGAAAAAGTCATCCGGCTGGCTGGCTTCGATGAGCAAATGGTCAGCCCCCATCTCCCCAACGATGATCTCTCTTCAACTATCCCAGGAATTGCTCAGACCAGGCCTCTTTTATGAGGGACTCCCATTGAAGGAGGCAGCTCCACTCAGGCAGCTGGCATCCTGGAGGGCATGTTGCTCTTACCCCCAGTCCTGAGTCATTGCTACAAAAGCAGCAGCTAAGAGGAAGCTCTCCATAGCTCAGCAAGTCTGAGTCCAAATCCTACTCTTTGGTTAGTGTGGCCCCAGGTGAAGCACATATCCTGATTCTCAGCTTCTTCATGGGCACATAATAGAAATTACAATACTGAGACTGACTACTGGACTTCTGAGGTCAGAGGAAACGTGAGACACTTGTGAGGGCCTAGATTAGTACCTGGCATAAATCAGCTAGATCCTGGTGGAGTCTAGAGTGGGAAAGCAGTTCTTCTCCTCACCTGCAGCTATGGCTTTCCCCACAGGTGGAGCTCATTGCAGGCAGCTCAGAGGAAGTGATCCCACGCCTAAGAGCTCAGCACCACCTGAATCGGGCAGATCTGGTGCTTCTGGCACATCGACCTCGCTATTACTTAAGGGATCTACAGCTACTGGAGGCCCATGCTCTGCTCCCACATGGTGCCACTGTACTGGCTGACCATGTGCTTTTTCCTGGTGCACCCCGCTTCCTACAATACACCAAGAGCTGTGGTCGCTATCGCTGCCGCCTCCACCACACCAGCCTCCCAGACTTCCCTGCCATCAAGGATGGCATAGCCCAACTCACTTATACTGGACCTGGCTGAGGTCCAGGACCTGGGACATTTATTAATACAATCCCAACCCCATTCAAGCAGACCTCAGAATATCTCCTTTCCCTTTCTGTTTACTATCCAAAACATGCTAGGCTCAAGCTGGGGAGGCTTTCTTTTCAACTTTGTTCCCCTCCAACCTCCATACTGATCTGAAGTGTCAAATTCTATCAGCCTTCTTGGTCCCACAAGGTCCCCTCATACAGGAACTGGAAGCAAGAGGCCTGAGCTGTCAACTTAAGTTATTGATTGCTCCCTCCAAGTGAGTCCTTCCCTCCTCTGAGATTCAGTTTACTCTAACACTGAGACAGCTGGGTGAAGGGGCTGGAGAGACAGCTCTACAGTTAAGAGCACTGCTTGCTGCCCTCTACCTAAAGGACATGGGTTCAATTTCCAGCACTCACATGGCACAGGCACACATGTGATATACATACATACTGACAAAACACTTTTAGGCATGAAATAAATAAAACAAAACAAGACATCTGGTTGGCACAACCCTAGAGCCTCCCAGCTATGAGACTCAGACGAGATCTGTGGCAGCTGCAGACAATGAGGCCCTGCAGGAACATATGGGTACAAGCTAGGCCATAAGAATTATCAATCACAGAAACCTGGGCTCTGATCCTGGCTGGCCAACGTAGTCCATTAGGTTTGCTTGAGAGCCCTTACATAACCCTGTCCCAATGTCCAAGAAAAGATGCTGAACTCTGGGTCCCACCAACAAACAGGGAATAGACACTGGGGAAAGAATCAGTCCTGTGTCTTTATTAAAGAAGGTTAGAAAGGGACCACACCTGGCAGCCAAGGAGTGAGGTACCAGCCAGGATGGTGGGATGGGCTCAGGCTTTTGGGATTCAAGGGAAGACTGATGGCCTGGAAGGGCCCAAGGAGAGCTCGTCCTGGCAGCAGCTGAGGAAGTGCCTAAGGGAAAGCTTTAGGCACTACAGCCACAAGCTGGTTCTGCAGGCTGAAGGCTGCGGCTGTGGATTCAAAATAGGTTGGGGTGCTCTGGAATCACACTGAGGGCACCTTGGCTTGTCTACCTAGATCATCCACTGGTCCTGATCTTGTTCGTTGCCTTCCATGTCCACCTGAAGAGGAGGCTGGGTGTGGGTGGGGAGGGGCCTCAGCCAGCCTCAGCCCAGATCCTGCCCCTGGGTACAGCCAGGGTTTCTGTATGCCTTGGCCATCAATTAGATCAGGGGCAGGAGCCTAGGAACAAAGGCCCTCCCCTACACCCCGCCTACCTCATTGACCTCTCCATCATCAGGTGACTCATTGTAGTCATTCATCTCATCCATGTCCTGCATGTCCTCATCATCCTCTGAATCCTCTTCACTGTCCTCGTCATCTTCATCATCCTCTTCTTCCTCGTCATCGTAGTGCTGCTAGAGCAAAAGACTCTGTAGGCCTCAGGGTTCCTGGACCATGTCAGGAGCTGGCTACCTGGAGCCTCCTCCTTCCCAGCCCTGCCCGCCTCGAGTCTGGTAGGCTGCTGCACGACCTCAAGGACCTTAGTACTAGGCACAATGCCTCGCCCCTCAAGCTCCCACTTTTTCTGTCTACCCAGATTGAAAACTACAACTGTTCTGAGCCAAAAGCAAGGCCATTAAAGTAAAGCCTTGTTCTACTGGGCTTCACATAGGCCCCACCCACAGGAACTACTCACCTCTGAGGCAGGCTTGCCAATAGGTACCAGGTTGTTGTCTTTCTCTGCGATGCTTTGGAGCTGTGGGCAAAGGAGTATGGGGAAAAGTAGGGCCAAGGCACAAGCAGAGAAGTCAGGTAGCTTACACGACCCCTTAATAGACCTCCAAATGTTGAAACAAAGCTTCTTCCCCCCAATTCTCAGGAAGATGCCATCTCCCTTTCTCCTGTCATCTGTTCCTTATAAAATTGATGGACATAGGTAAAGTCTTTTGGCCTCAGTTTTTTCATATAATTCTGGTGAGGGTGAAATGAGACACTCAGCCTAGAATATGGCATCTTGTTAAATTCTGAAGTCCTGTGATGTATAGAAAAGATCTTAGGCTGCCAGGAGCTTGGCATGTACTAATCTAGCCCCAAAGTTCTATGGTCCCTCAGCAAGTTAGGGTACCACAAAGTAAGAACTTTATCCCTAAGAACCCAGCTTGACTATTCCAAACACAGAGAAAAATGATTTTCTAAGCAGGTCTCCAGTGTAAGGCAAGGTCACGACTCGGGGTACACCTCCATGCTGAGCTAGGTCCTCACTCACCCAGGCCTGATGCTGCTGCTCCTGCTGCTGCAGCTCTGTCTCCTCCACACAGGGTCGATCCAGATTAAACCACAGTGTCTCAGTCACACGAGGGAAGAGTGAAGGGAACAAGGTGGACATTGCTCCTAAGCTGAGGGAAAGGGTCACATGAATTTGTTTTGTTTTGATGCAGTTGTAATTTAATTTAGGGATGGGGTGGAGTGGGAGGTAGCAGAGAAACTGCCCTTCCCTCTTGAAATCAGACAGACCTGAGTTTGAGTCCTGGCTCCATCACTTACTAGCTCTTTGACTTTGGCCAATACACTTAACCTCTCTGGGCCTCAGTTTCCTCATCTGTAAGAATGGGGATAATTAAAATTATATCATCCTCAAAGTTATTATGACAAAAAAATAAAACAATGAGTAAAGCTGTATGCTGCTTAAGGAGAGAAGAGACTGGGAGCCAGAGATGGAACGTGGCATTGTGGTTATGTACAAAATTAGCGACACCAAAGATCTACTAAAATTCATTTTAAACACACACGCACACACATCATAAAACTTATTTTTTGCTCTTTTGATTCATGTCACATCCAACCAGTGCAAAACGTTTTGGACATGAACCACCTCTCTCACCAACCAGTCAAACTGCAATACACACAACCAAGGATAAAAGATATTCTAGGAGGGGTGGGTAAAATAGATAAACAAAGAAATGGAAAAATGAATAATGAACTAACATGTAAGAGAACAAAATCGACTCTGTGGGCTGAAGCTGATGACCAGGAAGGTTACCAAGAAGCTGAACTAAAACCCCTCAGCTCACAAACCCAGTGACATGTAGAGCTTGACTTTGGCCACACACTCGGTGGGGGCTTAAAACATACGCAAGGAAGGGATCCTGGTCCAGCACTGTAGGAAGGTCACAGGAAAAAAATAGAATTGGTGTCTACCTTGGTGTTTCCCCCTATTTTTAGTAAATGAGACAAAGTTTCACTATTTAGCCGTGACTGGCGTGGAATTCACTATACAGACCAAGCTAGTCCCAAACTCACAGAGATCCGCATGCCTCAGCCCACGAATGCTGGGATTACAGGCGTACACCAGCTACAACACCCGGCTCTACTCTAGCTTTTGTTCTAACTTAATTTGACCCACGCAGAACTACACGCTGTCATTCCCTAGACCAAAGCTCCCAAGGTCCGTGTGACAGGAAAAAAGGGGTCCACCACGATCCCAAAAGTACTGACAGATTTTTGTATCCTAAAACCCTACCCACCACCTCCCATTCTTTGCTTATTATGATAATGACTGCGAGTTTGACCAACAAGAAGGAGGCAGGGGCGGGTCTCCGTCAGGATTTTGACCTAATAGGGATGCTAATCGCAAATTGCGCGCGGCCTGGCTGAAGCCAATTAACTGAAAGAAATGTTGGGTGACAGGAAGTGAAACCAATGCATGACGGAACATGTGTGATGGGTGGGGCTTAGACTCAAGGAAGCGGCCAATGAGCAGGATGTCTTTAAGAGTAAAAAAGGGAGAAACGAGCTGCTAGGGAGGCGAGTCAAAGGAACTGGGTTTCTCTGGAAGCCGGAAGAAAGAACAAGCAAAGAGACGGCAGCAGTCTCGTTTCCGCACTTACCGCGCCAAGAGCCGGCAGCCGGCGGCGACCCGGAAGCGCTTCCCCAGGTCTGAGCGGAAGAACACACCAGAATCCGGGACTCACTAACGCATGCGCTTTCCGTCTCCTTTTGTTTCCCGCTTCAACTACCAAACCGGAAGTGATGTTGACGAACCTTAGTTACGTACTAGTTGGGGGAGGACATTTGCTCCGCCTACCTATTGGCTCCGCCTTGAATCTCGAGCGTCGGGTTTCTTCAGGCTAGCCTCTCGCCAGTGTCTGTTTAGTCCCGCCCTCCTGTCTCTAGGTGGTGTTTGTGTGTTAATCTCCTCGAAATAGAATGGTTTCCAGAAATGTTCGCTTGTATGGATGCTGTGTGTGCTGCTGTGTTCCAGGAACATCTGTTTCTTCCCTTCTGTTCTCTCAGACTCAATTTCCTGTTTGATCATATCCATTCTTGTCTTTGAGCGGATACCTTGAACATGCTAGACAAACCTCTGCCACGGAACTACATCATATTCATAATATTTCCTTTTCTTTTTTGAGACAGAGTCTCACTGAGTATTCCTGACTGGCCTGACACTCACTAGCTAGACCAGGTTGGCTTTAGGAATAGTCCTTCCTGCCTTCCCCCGTGCGGGTATAGAAGCTGTGTACCACCATGCTGGTCCCTTTTTATCTGCTTAAATTTTTATCTTAAATGTATGAGTGTTTGAACAGCTTGTGTGTGTGGATGGATGTGTATGTATGTGGAGGCCCAAGAGTGATACTGGAAATCTTTCTCAACGGTTCTTCTATCTTATTCTTATTCAAAACCAGAAGTCCCTGCTACGGCTGGCTAGTCTGACTATCCAGGTTCTCTGGGAATTCTCTGTACTGAAATTACAGGCTGGTTGCCATAACCATCCAGCATTCATGTGGTTTCTGAGGATCTAAACCTCAGTCCTGCCCTCTTTTAGAACAAGCACTTTAACCCCTAAGGCATCTCCCCAGGCCTGTAAATTCTTTGTCTACACTGTTTCTTCTTTAACTAGCACGATAATCTGCCTAGTTTTCCTCCTGTCCTTGGCTGTGGTGAAGAATGGATGAGACAGAGCTGCTATTCAAGAGTTTCACTGTGTGGTTCCTATCAAGTCTAATTTTATTGGCCAAGAGTTCAGCTTCAGCTTAAAACGTTTTTAAACTTTAGCAAGCTCTGCTTATTAAAATTGTAGCACTCAGGAACCTGAGACAAGAGGATGTGAAGTTCAAGATTGGACTGGGCTGTGTAGCGGGTTCAATGCAGCCTGAAATGTATAAGTCCCTGTCTCTCACAAAACCAAGTATAAATTTTAAAAATAAAAATAAGGGCCAGTTAGATAGTTCAGTGGGCAGAGGTGCTTGCTGACAAGCCCTAGGACCCAAGTTCAATCCCTAGGACACACATGGTAGAAGGAGAGAGCTGCCTGTCACAAGTAGTCTTCTGACCTGCGTGTGCACATTGCAGCAGTTGTTTGCTGCCTTCCACACTAAATAAATGTGAATCAGGAAAAAAAAAATTAACTAGGTGCAGTAAGAATGTTGGTTTCCAGTCGGGTGGTGGTGGCACACGCCTTTAATCCCAGCACTTGGGAGGCAGAGGCAGGCGGATTTCTGAGTTCCAGGACAGCCAGGGTTACACAGAGAAACCCTGTCTCGAAAAAAAACCAAAAAGAAAGAAAGAAAGAGAGAGAGAGAGAGAGAGAGAGAGAGAGAGAGAGAGAGAGAGAGAGAAAGAAATTTGGTTTCCTTAAAAACACATAAATGTATTTTTGTGGGTTTGCAAGTATGGCACCGTGGAAGGTGAAGCAGCACATGTTCCCCCCCCCCAGGAGGCGTGGCTCCATTGACTGCAAGCAGAACCTGCTCCTGACAGCGTGTGCCCAGCTACATGGCTACACGATGTGTGCTGTGGGCATTGGGGCGTTGCCTACTGGGGAATGATGGAGTGGAACTGAGAGCACCAGCTGATCAAGGACTTGGAGGCCAGGGTCTCGCTCACTGCTCTTCCAGGCAGAGAAGCACCAGAGGATCCTGCAGATTCTTCTTGGGGGGTGGGGGGGGAGGAGGAGGAGGAGGAGGAGGAGGAGGCCATCATCATGAAAGATGGCGGTCTGTATTCCACACCAAGTGATGGGTGCCACCTCTCCTTGTGGAGTTGTACAGGCTATGCACTAAGGAGGAGATGTACAATGCAAACTTCGGCTTTACCTGGTATACTTGGGGCCCAAGCTGATGCCCACAGTAAAGAATAGTTAAATAAATGCCAAAAAAAAATGTGTTTTTGTTTGATTTTGTTATGGGGCTGCTTCAGATTGTCCATAGCAGCTACAATTTGCCTTGTCCGCCGGCAGAGGTTGATTTGGCCAGCTACAGATAGATTCTGCGATTGTGTGATGTTTGGAATTCTGGGGACTTTTCAGAGGATATTTAAATGCTAGAGCCCCGGTAGGGTGTGGCTGATTGATTGACAGGTGATTGGATGAGGTTTGCTTAGTAGTCAGACAAAAAAAAGAAAAGAAAGAAAGAAAGAAAGAAAAGAAATTAGATACCCTGGTGACAAAGATCAAACTTGCTGCAAGAAACTAATCAGCAGGAAGTAGATTAATAGTATCGTCACTCTCTTTCCCCCCCCCCCCACCTACTGTTAGAGGGTTAAAAAGGTGAAAGAGGAGGGGTGGAGAAGGATGAAAGAAAAAAGAAACTCACAAAATTGTAAAATGTCCAATTACAACCAGGCATGGTAATATAGGCCTTTAATCCCAGGACTCAAGAGGCAGGCACATTTCTCTTAGTTTGAAGCTAGCTGGGTCTACATAATGAGTTCGAGGACAGCTAGAGCTACACAGGGAGATCCTGTCTCAAAACACACACACACACACACAAATAAAAGACTGTCTTCAGAGGGAACAGAAAAACAGATTTTCACCAAAGGGTAAATTTATCACTTGGAAATGTCCATCCTTTTTGTTCATCCTTTTAACAAATATTTATTGAGGCTGGGCATGGAGGCACATGACTTTAACCCCAGCATTTGGAAGGCAGAGGTATGAGAATATCTATGAATTACAGACCAGTCACGGAGCGGGGCGGTGGTGGCGCACGCCTTTAATCCCAGCACTTGGAGGCAGAGGCAGGCGGGTTTCTGAGTTCGAGGCCAGCCTGGTCTATAGAGTGAGTTCCAGGACAGCCAGGGCTACACAGAGAAACCCTGTCTCGAAAAACCAAAAAACAAACAAACAAACAAACAAACATCATTCAAGAAGCAGAGACAGGCAGATCTCTTTGAGTTCAGAGCTAGCCTGGTCAAGTTCAAGGACAGCCAGGGAGACCTTGTCTCAAAACACTAAAGGGGCTGGAGGAATGGCTCTATGGTTAAGAACATTTGTTGCTCTTGAAGAGGAGCTAGTTCAATCACCAGCATCCACATGGCTACTCACAACTGTAACTCCAGTTCCAGGGGATTCAACACCTTTATCTGACTTTCACAGGCACTAGGCATGCACGCAAAACACAATTAAAACAATGCAATTAAGATAAAATAACACTTTAAAAAAATCAGAGGTAGAGGATGAGAAATGGACAAATTTTGAACAAATCAGAAGTAGAGAAGTCAGCTTGGCATGGTAGCATACACGTTTAATCCAGCATGTGGGAGACAGAGGCAGTCAGATCTCTGAATTTGAGGCTAGCCTGATCTACATAGAAAGCTCCAGGATACCCAGGATTACACAGAGATACTTTCTCTAAGAGAAACAAACAGAAGTAGAGAAAGCAGTGTTTGCTGACTAATAGGATGTAAATTATAGGGCATCCGAGGAAGGAACCAAAATTTTTTTGACCCAAACAACTGGAAGGCTGGTGTTGTCATTTTTTTTTTTTTTTTTTTTTTTTTTAGGTTAAAAAGACTGAGGAAGGTTTTGGTGGGACAGTCTGTGTTGAGTTTGAGATGCACTTTACATTACAGAGTTTGAGGGAGCACAGAGACATGTGGGTCTGCAGATCAATAGGAAAGCTGGGCTGGATATTTCATGGCAGTTATGGTCTCTAAGCTACACAATGGGGTGAGGTCATCAAGAGTGAATGAAGAAGGCAGAAAATAGTTCCCACCAACGTTAAGTAGTAAACCAAACAGATGTAGATGGTGAATTGAGTGTAACCTGGAACAAGCACAAAAATGGTGCTTTAAAGGAGGATTTGGTCTACTGTGGCCCAATTTTGTACAAAACCATGTTTCTGTTTGCTACCCCAGTAGATGATAAGCTTCTAGAGGGTAGAGCTGCAACGGTCGGTCTCTGTGCCTCCATAGCCATTCTTCTTCTTTTTTTTTTTTTTTTAAAGATTTATTTATTTTATGTATATGAATGAGTACACTGTCCCTGTCTCCAGACATACCAGAAGAGGGCATCAGATCCATTACAGATGGTTGTGTGCCACCATGTGGTTGCTGGGAATTGAACTCAGGACCTCTGGAAGAACTGTCAGTGCTCTTAACCACCAAGCCATCTCTCCAGCCCTGAGGCCATTCTTCTGGTTATTTCACCTACTCTCCTATGATCATTGTGCCCAGATGTCCCTCTTCTCTTCTTTATCTA